ATTATTTTTCAATTGCTTTTATTACACTAATATTGAATTTTGAGTGAAATAAATACACAACACTTTTAATAATGAATTATAACTTTTATTTTTATTTCATTCATTACAGAGAATAAGATATAATTTGTTTAGATTTGTGTTTTTTATTGTCATTTCGATAAACATTTTTCAATTTTTGAAAAAATAGTTACATTTATATATTATATGGTAATTGAGAGTCAAAATTAAAATTAGAAAATAATAAACAATTGATTTGTTCAGCAATTAATCAATCATTTTATATGATTAGCGAAACAAACGGAAAAATAGATATTTTTATATTTATATATTGAGAGCAATAAAACAGACCATTAATTCAATTACAATTAAATTCAGTCTCCTTTTAGACGCATATTTTGATAGCAATTAAAGGGACAGAAAAAATATCAGGACTTTTAACGCCGGAGAGACAGAAATAAAATGAATAACAAAAAAATTAAATCATAAAAATAAATGACATTATAATTATAGATCTATTCAATCATTTTATGTATATTTTAAAGTATTTTTTAGTGTAATTTAAATGGGTTTTCTCATTACAATCACATCTGTTGTGTATTTCAAATGACTGTTTGGTTTTTTTCATCGCAACAAAAATATACTCAATTGAAGGCACTTTTCAATTGAATGGATCGACAAAATCAAAAATAATTACAACAAAAAATTTGATCACAAATTATACACCAAATGATAATTGCTTTCAAAGGACAGAGAATAGGACTCATTATAATTAGTGACATGAATGAACGATTTAAAAAACAGGTCTTTAAAAACGAGGGAATAATATCACACTTGACTTCACTTCAAATATCAATTAATTATATATTCATATCAATAATAATTATAATCAATAATTAATTTAATAATAATAATAACTCTAAATATATTTCAAAACTCAATAATATATTGTTTTTTTCTTTGTTTTTTCAATAATAATATATAATTTGTATAATATATGGACTAAAATGTCTAAAACCACTAGAAATTAACGTTTCTTTCGTGTCAAACAACGCTTTGAGTTAACGATTGGTTTGTAATTACAGTTTAATGTAAGAACTGTTGCCTATAATTGTTTAGTTGAGATGAAAGCCTTTCTCTTTAGTGGCGGCCAAAAGCTTTTCCCGCATTATCTCCTCATTTGAATAGTCGGGAAGTTTGAGATAATGGGCGCACGTATTCACCGACGGATACGAGTGCTCGCTATAGACAGACAGACAATGAAATACATTCACAATTTAATATAAGGAAAATATACAGCAATTCATTTGCCGCCGACAAACACATACCTGGCGTCCACTTTGCGCACAATGGTTAGCCTCGGGTGAAGGTTTGCGAGACCGCCGGGCGGTAGTGATGAGCACCCGGTGGCGAACTGTAAGAATGACTTGCGTTCGTCGCCTTTCATTGCGACCAAAACGTTCACAAAACGCAGAAAACCGGGACTAATGGCCAGAAATTAAAACAAAATAAACATTAATCTCAAACCAATATCCAATAAATCCTAACACAAGACAATCACAAACCTTTCTCTAGTGTACCCGAGTTTGGGTTCCGTGAACTTAATGATGTCTTCACGCGTCCAATTGGGCGACTGTTCGCCGCACAACATAAGCCGCACCTCTTCCGGAGTGAACGAACTCAACCGATCGATCGGAAACACTTGATTCAAGCCATCTGTTCGGTCCGGTAATCATCATTCAAATCAAAAAGCAATTCACGTTATAATACAATACAACTTCTATACAAATAGAAGACAGACCTCTAAACGCGTCCATTTGCTTCTTGATTCCGGTGTGAAGTATGAAATCCATCATAAGCTCCACGTATTCCTCCACGTTATCGATGGTCACGTCTTCGAGTTCGCCGTTTGGCTTCAGAATTGCGAGACCGCCGGGCGGTAGTGATGAGCACCCGGTGGCGAACTGTAAGAATGACTTGCGTTCGTCGCCTTTCATTGCGACCAAAACGTTCACAAAACGCAGAAAACCGGGACTAATGGCCAGAAAACAAAACAAAATACATTAATCTCAAACTAATTGCCAATAAATCCCAACACAAGACTATCACAAACCTCTCTCTAGTGTACCCGAGTTTGGGTTCCGTGAACTTAATGATGTCTTCACGCGTCCAATTGGGCGACTGTTCGCCGCACAGCATAAGCCGCACCTCTTCCGGTGTGAACGAACTCAACCGATCGATCGGAAACACTTGATTCAAGCCATCTGTTCGGTCCGGTGATCACCATTCAAAACAAAAAGCAATTCACGTTATAATACAATACAACTTCTATACAAATAGGAGACAGACCTCTAAACGCGTCCATTTGCTTCTTGATTCCGGTGTGAAGTATGAAATCCATCATAAGCTCCACGTATTCCTCCACGTTATCGATGGTCACGTCTTCGAGTTCGCCGTTTGGCTTCAGATCGACGGCCGAATAGCCAAACACTCGCGACGGCGGGCAGTACTGGAATGTGAGGCCGAGATCGTCGAGCCGTACGGGCAGTTGTGCCTGAGCTAAGGGTATGCAGAGGTTGCGGATCTGATTGTTGCGGTCCTCCCACGTCAGCGACGTGTCCGATAGGATCCGCTGCTTCTGTTGAACCAATTCATTCAGTTGTTGCAGAAATCGAGCCTTAATTCACAAATTCATATAATCGTTAATCAATTGACACTTATTTGATCCGAGATATGACTACAGATCATAAACACATGAGTCAATCCATACCTGAATTGGATTCACGAGACTGAGGTCTTTCATGTCGAGTATGCCGTGAATCCATGACTTGGACTTAATCTCGTGCTTTTCGCGCTTGAGTTTCGCTTCGCGGCCCAACTCTTCCCTTTCCATCACCAGAAGGTCGTCGTCAGAGATGGGACTAATCGACGAACTGATCGTCTCGTCCTCTTCCACCATATTTCCTGCCGATCGCCATAACAGACAAAGAATACAATTATCATAACCGGAAAAAATCAAATATACAAAAACACCAAACATTTGGCCACAAAAAGTACCGGTAATGAGGAAAGTGTTATTTGAGTCCAACTTAATGGAAGCGCCGGCCCGTGAGATGAGTTTGAGGAGTGGCTGAGAGAGCGGCAAATCAACCAAACGGTTGTCCTGAAGGGCTTTGGCGATGAATGTGCCCAAGAAGTGGAACAGTTTCACCGCGCGATTCATTTGCTGCGAATTGTTGGGCAGAGGAGCCGGGAAGAGGCCGTAACTGGAGCTGATGTAATAGCCCACGGGTTTCATACCCTCTCCTTTGTCGACCGGCTGTTCGTTGGCCGCTGTCATGAGCTCGTCGTCGCACAACCAAATGGCGAGGTCTCGGCGCTGGAGTTCGGCTGCGATCAG